CCAATCACCCAATCATCACACAAATCAGTCAACAGGTTGACAAGAAAAGGCTTTAAGCTCAAACGGGCTACTAGTGGAATAATAAATAGGACCAAAGAACAAGGCAGAAGTGAGCTAATCAAACAAAGCGCCTCAATCATATTCGCAATTTTAAACTCTAATTGATTCCTTTCAAACAAACTCAAGGCAAGTTCTAATCATTCAAGAATATGACCAATATCTCACAAGAAAGAAGAGTTAGGCTCAAAACCTCACAAGGTAAATAAATGTCACTCAAAGCAATCAAGCAATATCGAGGCAATGATCAACACAATCGTCATCACAACTTCCCAATTTCATCAAACATCCATCAACAAATCATATAATCCACCAATACCATGCTCAACAACACAAAAACCTAACCTAGCTCGGCCCACCACATAAGCATGCAAAATTCAAATAGACTCCCCCACACTTAAAATGAGGCAATGACCTCATTGCTTCAACTCAAAACAGGAAGTCAAATGCAAGGACAAAACAATTTCACATAATGAACCAAACTAGCAGCTACCACAAGAACACAAGACTCAAAAGAAAGGACAGGAGAAGAACAACTCAAAAAGGATAAAAAGAAAAGGGTGTGCAAACCGAAAATGCCTCGAGGAGAATAAGTATCCACATACGAGCTACTCGCCCATGCACCGCTCTGGACCTCGAAATTCGTCCTGCTCAAGCTCGCAAACTCGTACCTGCCAAGAAAAACACAGAAACTCCAAACTCCAATTATTAAAAGATGAAATAAAAAGCAAAAAGAAAATAACTAAAAAAACAGTAAATCACTTGGGTTGCCTCCCAAGAAGCGCTTGTTTAACGTCATTAGCTTGACGAAACCTGTGAGGAACTCAGCCAGGGTCCAAGAAGAAGTGACGATCGTGCCACGCCTTTGTATTCTCGAGCAGTGGCAGTGCTGGCTTTAAGGCCAGAAGGCGGGCACTGTGGGCACGAGTGGCTACGTTCTTAATGTAGTGAGTCTGTTCACGAGGAATCCCCAATGTCTGGAACAGAGCCTTCCCCAACCGAGCTCCCTCGTCAACCTCGGCAATCAAAGGCACATCAATGGAGCAAGTCGAAGAAAATACCATCACCTCTGGAAAGCAGTGCAGTGGCCTCGGAGGCGGATACTCCAACTCGAAGGTGGGGGGAGGGTCTTGTGAAACGACCTCCTCCTCTAATGCATCGTATCCGGCTCGTGGGAGAATGTCATCCTCTTCGGCCTCACACATTTGTTGCAGAATTCGAGCCTGAGGGTCAATATTGAGGTGTGGGTTGTCGACTTGTGCCTCTATCGAATCGAGACGTACAGTGAGGCTCTCTATTTGGGTGCTCAGCCGAGCACATCCGAGCTCAATCTCCTTTTCTTGGTTTGCTCGGGCCATCATCCAATCGAGGATGAGGTCGAGCTTGGCATTGTACTCGGAGGAGTCGTCCTGGAGCTCATTTGGATGCTCGGGCATAGGATGTGGGTCCACAACCTCGAGCTTGTGGGCCTGGGACTCAATCGAGTCGATGCGCCTTGCTAGACTTTCCACGTGCTCGCTCAATCGGGCACATCTGAGCTCAATCTCCTCCTCTTGTTTCGCTCGGGCCATCAATCGATCTAAGATGAGATCGAGTTTGGTATTGTATGCGGCCTCTTCTTCTCGAGCTGAATTGGACTCTATAAAATGGAGAATCTGATCGAGCTTCTCGTTAAACTCGTGGGACTCATAAGTTTGCTCAACCGGAAAATCGTTCCAGCACTGCTCAGAAGAATTCGGGTAAGGTTGGGTGTGGTACCCGGGGGAATAGACCGACTCGTCGTTCCAAGATGTGTAATGCATGGAGGAGTACCCATGATTGAAATTCATTGTACCTGCACACCAGAACCAAACAACCACGCGTAGCCAAGAAAAAAGGATAGAAAAGAAGACAAAAACTAAAACAAGAACAAAAGAGAAAAGCACATATGCACAAAAGAAACAAAAACACTAAAAATACTAAAATAAAGAGAAACACAGAAAATAAGATCAAACACCAAAACTAAATATCCTACTTGCCTTCCCCGGCAACGACGCCAAATTTGTTGTGTACATATTATATTTTTACCGAGTACGGGATGACTCCCGACCTCGGGTCGATCTCACAAGGAAGGCGGTTCGGAATTCAGTTTTGGTATCGATCACACATAAAAAGAAGATAAATCCTAAACACTCTAATCAGATAAGGAGAATATATTATCAACTAAAAAATCAACAGCAAACAAAAACGAACCTAAAATACGAACTAGAAAGTGATAAAGAAGCTAGGGAATCGGGGATAATTAGTTCAAGTTCTAGGCAAAACCGGGCAATCAATTGTTCGGTTCGATATTGACACTCTCGCTTAGACATCTAGCGGTTCGCTCCCAATAACTCTTCGTAACAAGGGATTGAACATGGACGAGCTAGCTCGAGCATATAATACAGGTCAATTTTCCCAGTCTCAATAACTTTTCGTAACAAGAGATGGGTCATCGGCAAGTACGTATTTCAATCCAAAACCTATAGACTATTCAGTTACGAAATCATCTATCTCATGCGAGCCTAGGTCTACGACTTCTCCCCTTTCGGTTCTAAAAGTCGCTAATTCAATCAGAAGGTGTTTAATCAACTAATCAGATAGAATCAACAAACCCTAACTCGACAAATTAACATTCAATTGATACCAATTGCAAGATCGAAGTGTCACCCTTCGATTATATCAAGTTATCAAGCAAGAATTAATTAACCCTAATTAAAGCAACTCGCACAAGCATGAACAATCTTGAGCCCGACAATAACGAAATTATTCAAGAACAATCATCCCCTATCCCTAGCAGAAGGAATTAGCTACGTAAATCAAATTCAACACAATAATTCATTTCCCCTAATTTAACCATTATTCATGAATTAAACACGAGAGAAAAGAAACTTACCAATAATCTCAAGTCCAAATGTTGAATTCGAATTACAATCTTAATCCCTAACTAAGAAAAAGAAGAAGAAATAAAATAGAAAATAAAAGTGAAAAGAAGAAGAAAAACGATCGAGAAGATCAAAGGAAAGGAAGAGGAAGAGATTTTGTGTTTTCTCTGGGACCTAGGGGCGGCGCGGAGAAGGGGCGTGCCGCGGCGCGGAAGGGCTTGGCGGCGTGGTGAAAGGGCGCTTCGCGGCGTGGTGAAAGGGCACTTCGCGCCGCGGCGGGCGCGCGGGCCTGGACAGCTCGCACTACTTCACATTTTGGAGTCGTTCGGGCTCGTCTGGTATCGGAATTGAGTTCTGTTTTTTCCTGTGTGTTCCCAACGAACTCCTCTATCTAATTACGCTTGCCCAACTGACTTTTGCCCAAAATTCGATCTTCCCGAAGCTTTCGACCTACACACCATAAACAAAGCAAAACCGAAAAAACATACGGAAAACACAAGAAAAACCAAGATAGAGGAAAACACGCAATAAACTACAAAACGAGATAAAAACTAACTAAAAAACCTAATATGGGGGAAAAAGAAAGGAAAAATAACAAGGAAAAATTGAACAAAAATGGGACAAACACATCACCTCCGGACATAATGTCACTTGAATTAACAACTCCTAAAGATGAATTAAACTGTGTTGAGAATGGAACTTATGCAGACAACACACATCCACGTCCTAAATGGCGAGGGACAAGGAGATCATCGAAGAAGCCTAGCAAATCCTAAACGATAGTTTTCTCAACATCAACACCTAGAACCGCGGGTCCTCTAGTGATTGGCTTATACGCATTAGAATTGAGTATTAGGTCGCTTTTATTTGTGCAATACGTTTTACATGCCAGTGGTGCAGTGCGATTGATTGGTTTTACCATTTGAAAATATGAGTCGTCTTCTTTCTTATATGTGGTGAAATATAGATTGATTTTTCGCTTTTACTTTTTCACTAGTCGTCGGCCCGACCTTCCACCCCTCGGACTCCTTTAGCAAGAAAATTATGATGGACATTTTTTTTTTTCGAAATGATAGGATTTATAAATAAAAACACATATTTTCATCTAGATCACAACCAAAACAACCAACTAAAGTAGCTATTCAGCTGAATCTAGTGGGAGGACTATCCCAAAAGGAGCCTAGAATCAACATAACTAACCCACTAAACAAAAATAAAGTTTTCCCATGTGGAGAATATACGCTCCTAAAGAGGAGAACAACACTACACAAAAACACACAACCCGCAACGAAACAAACTACAAGAAATTATCTAACACTAGACTAAACTAAAGTCCTCCTCTTCAGCCGATAAACAACACCGCACCTTCACCACTAAAACCAAACACCTGGGAGCAACCACCCAAAGAGATATGATACGTTTTGCGGCCCAACACATGGATCTAGAAACTTCTAGCATTGGCTAACTAGATCCGTCCTGACGAACCAACACCCTTTCCCAAAGGTAACACAACAAGAATACCCCAGGAGGCCCGCGCCAATCTCAATCCCCACCCCCCTCCCTCCAACACGATCTAACCAGCGTGACAAAAAATGATCAGGGTCGAAACCTACAAGTGCTCATTTAAGCATCAGAGGCTCTTCACTAGAAAACTGCTCCGGTGTGAGTTTTTGCATATCTAAAGGCGTTCAACTGGCGTAGAAGCTCAAGAGCAGGCCGATTCCAGCTGGTCGAGGGTGTTTACGTACCATATAAAAATTATTAATAAATAAAAAATTTGTTAAATTTCAAATATATTTATTACTTAAGTTAGTAAATTTGTTATAATTTAAAAGAAAACGACGAAAAAGAAAGATTGGGAAAAATATTATACGTTATAAACCAGGTGCACAATAGGAAATAATATTAAAACATAATTAATACTCATAAAAAGTATCATAAATATTCAATATATTTATGGATATTACAAGCTTAATTACTTTAATTTGTAAATAAATTAAAATTCATACAAGCCACACAATAAAACTTAAAAATTTGCCACATGAAATGTCGAAAAGCCTACCATTTATAGTCAACACATTCGAAAATTATACATCTATACGTACCAACAAAATTTGTTTGGCAGTGTAAATTCTCCACCCAGCCCACCTTTTGTAATTTCCGTCAAACCGCTAATATTTCCACCACATAGAGAAGCGAAAAGTTCACAACCTAAAAACCCGTAGGCCACCACCTCCTCCGCCAGCTCGCCACCCCTGAGCTAACTGCTCCTTACACCCACCTTACCTTAAAGGACTGTTAATTTCTCGTCTCAATGAGTTGGTCAACGCTCCTTTCTCTGAGCAATCCACTGACGCCGGCCCTCAGTCGCTCCCTAACCTCCAAACGCTCCAATTGCTCCGTCACGCCCCTAGCGTGCCTCAACGTGGATGTGCGCGCACCAGATTCATCCCAGAATCCGTCAATTCTTGACAAGAGAAGCTTGGAAATAATTGCGGACGAGAAAAAATTTATAGTGGGGACCTACTCCAGGGTGCCGCTGGTTCTTTCGAGTGGCAAAGGCTGTAAATTATACGATGTTGAAGGGCGAGAGTATCTGGACCTGTCGTCCGGCATTGCCGTCAATGCTCTGGGCCATGGGGACCCTGATTGGCTGCAGGCCGTCACACAGCAAGCTGATGTGCTAACGCATGTCAGCAACGTTTATTACTCTGTTCCACAGGTAAAGAGTTCATCCTTCCCTTAACAATAAAATGTATATGTTTCTGTTTTGAATTTGGGAATGGGTCCTTTCAATAAGAAACGATTTGGATTTTTATTCTCTTAGGACCTTTAATCTTGTTACACATTTTCCAGTTTCCAATAAAGAAAGTAAGCGTATGTTTCCAGTTTTGTAATGAGTGTTTGATGGGGCTCACATTTGTCCATTACTGAAAAGGTTTAGGTGGTTTTTTATGATAGCAATTGGGATGTTTCATATATATATTTGCACCATTTTGTAGTGGTGAACACTGACTTGTATTGGTCTTATTTTTGCTGGAATTGTTTGCTATTTATTTGGGAGTTAAAGAACTTTTTTCAACTCCCATATTATGAGTGAAATATAAAGAACCTGACTTGTGTCTTGTTATTTTTTTTCTGGTGATGATGGATGGTGTCAAGTACAAAATTCTACTTCTAGCTTGTGTGTGCCTTTTTAACTGAGCATACTAGGTTTGCACAAAGCAGGGCGTATCTACATTTTTTTCGGCCCTTAAAGTTAAGCCCAATCTTTTGTATATACATATTCATACATATATCATAGTAAGGTTATTGTAAGTGGACTTCAAGATTTTTCATGGTATATTCTGAGGAAATGTTGGTACTTAGTAGGAAGGTTAGAAGAAAATGTTGTTGATATGGATCTGAAACATGCATGATGTACCTACCTGAAAATGCCATCTGTATCCTGCTCATTTCTCCCAAAGAGTTACACCTACTTCTTCGACACTAATCAACTTTCTGATCGCCTTTTATCATAAATGATCAATTCGAACCCCAGGCCTCTAGGAATATAGGTTACATTCAATTCTCTGGGCCACCAGGAAAGGCTAAGCAGGCATGTGGAATATAGGTTTTATAGGTAAGACTACTCCTACGGTTAAGAACCAATAAAAGCCCGTAAAACCAAACTGAACTTCTCTTGGTTTTACCAATTGGGAATTTCTAGACCCAACGTAATTTTAATGAAGGTTTGAAGTTACTTAGAAACTTGTGAGCAAATATTATGTTTTCTGGCTTCCGTAGCAGTTTATTGCCACAATTGGGTTCAGAACATTTCCCAAATTAATAAATTTAAGTGTGTGATTATCGTATTTGCATTGCTTTTGTATGTGTGCAATAAAAAACTCGGGCTACTACTTTTTCAGGTGGAGCTTGCAAAACGTCTAGTCGCAGGCTCATTTGCTGACCGGGTCTTCTTCTGCAATTCTGGAACCGAAGCCAATGAAGCTGCTATCAAGTTCTCCAGAAAGTTCCAAAGGTTTACACGCTCGGACGAGAACGACCCTCCAGTGAATTTCATTGCCTTCACAAACTCCTTTCATGGCCGGACAATTGGTGCTCTAGCGCTGACAAGCAAAGAGCATTACAGGAAGCCTTTCGAGCCCATAATGCCTGGAGTCACTTTCTTGGACTATGGAGACACTAAGGCGACAGTAGAGCTTATTCAGAGTGGGAAGATTGCAGCTGTGTTTGTGGAGCCAATTCAAGGGGAAGGCGGCATTTACAGTGCAACCAAGGAATTCTTGGAGTCCGTGCGTGCTGCGTGTGACGATGCTGGGTGTCTTCTCGTATTTGATGAGGTAATCATTTTTATTTTTTCATAACAAGGGACGTTGTTTATTTCGTCTAATGCTAATTAATGGGATAATTGGAAAAAAATACATCTAAGGTTAGGTCAAATTACCGAAAAGAAAATGAAAAGAAAACAGACTCCAGGAAACCAAAAAATAGAAACAGCTTAAAAATTTGCTCAACCTGCCACCTCGAGTTTAAGATTGTTTTGCATTTCGCATTTCACGTTGATGCACTTAATGGAATTCTTTTACGTTTTACTTTTCGATCCTTGTTTTTTGCGGAGTATTGCTAATGAACTCAAGTTTTCATCTCACTTTTACACTATCGTCCCACAATTTTTATTTATGGTACAAATGGGCAATGTAAAGTTGGGGTTATTGTTTAATGTTTAAAAATTTTGAGGGGTGTGATTGTAAACTATTTGATGAAAGAAGCAAATCCATCTGATTTTTCTTAGTTTTCATAGTTATGTATGTTTTCCTCATAGATACCCCCAAGTCTCAGAGTTCGGTTTTGTAATTATCATCCCTTGATTATATATATGATAGACAAATATCTGCTATTCTTCTAGAAAAAGAGCAAATATGCTTCAGAAGTACGAGCTGTATATGTTGACATCTATCTCCCTGTGTGCCTTATTTGAGAACTAGAATGTGTTACAAGTTACAACGTTCACGGCATTGGGATGGCTTGCTGAAATCATATATGTTGATTTATGCCATGACTATAATTTGGCATGAATGTTTGAAGATAGTTTTGAAATCATTATAATGGTCCAGCGTAGAGTCGCTTTCGGGAGCTTTTCTTTGTATATTTGCCATTGATTGTTGCAATATTCTTCTTTCCTGACATTGACATGACAGGATACTTGTCTCCTGAAATGAAGTCGATAATATAGAAACTATAGGCATTATATTAGGTTCCAAGCCTCATCCCATTTCATCTTCATCAGAAGTTTCCCGAAATACTGGGATATTATGGCATGTCAATTAACTGACCCCAGGATAACCCAATGGTCTCACATGGTGGATGAGGAGCTCTAGATTTGAATGTATTATGCCGTTCACCAAACCTCGATGGTTTTTGTAATTCTTAATGCTGTGAATGCCCCAAAATCTCCATTGTAGCAGTTGCAATTGTCTCTTATTATATAATCCAATTCAAAATGTTAAAAAGTACATAACAATTTTCTTGAACAATATATGTGCATACATACAATAATCTCTATGGAGCCAGCAGATGGTTCCCTTCTAAACTTATCCATGAATTGTGTGTTGCTAACATGTCCCAAGTATATTTACTTTTGAATACATGTCGATCTATACACTGATGGTGAATGATGTCCAAAAATAAATCAATTTTTTTCTATAAGGTGTACGATAAGCTGATTCCTTACAAAAAATTGCTGTACATAAATCAAACCTATTCTATTGGTCCACTCTCCAGGTACAATGCGGGCTTGGCCGAACAGGCTACCTTTGGGCCCACGAAGCCTTCCATGTGTACCCTGACATGATGACTCTAGCTAAGCCCTTAGCCGGAGGCCTCCCAATTGGGGCCGTATTAGTGACCGAAAAAGTGGCCTCGGCCATCAGTTTCGGGGACCACGGCAGCACTTTTGCCGGCAACCCTCTCGTTTGCACTGCTGGAATTTCCGTTCTCGACAAAATCTCGAGCCCGAGCTTTTTATCCGACGTGGCGGAAAAAGGACGCTATTTTAAAGATTTATTGGTGAAGAAAATCGGAAAAAGCCCCCGTGTTGTGGAAATACGAGGCTTCGGGCTGATTATCGGGATAGAGCTCGATGTAGCTGCTTCGCCATTGGTCGATGCCTGCCGGGAGTCGGGGCTTCTCGTGTTGACTGCCGGCAAAGGGAATGTTGTTCGGATTTTGCCCCCATTGGTTATCACTAGAGAGGAATTGGAAGAGGCAGCTGAGATATTGGTCAGTTGTTTTCCTGCTCTTGAGGTTCACAGCAAGAACTAGGTTGTGGCTTCTTTGGATTTTTGGGTTTTATGTTTCTGTTGTAGCGTTTCGTTTTCTTTTGGTGGGAGTTATTTGGTATTATGCTTTTGTTTAGGTTGTGTATTGTGGGTTTCGAGCTCAATGTTGCATGTTTCTGGAGTATTATGTGTTTTGTTTTGGGTATACGTGGATTAACTGGAGTTTGTGTTTGTTGATTGTTGTGAGCTGCTTTTATTTGGGATAAATATAATTGCGTGACATGGAAATACTGCCCGTTATTCCTACAAGAATGCCAAGGAGCCAACAGTTGGCTCCGTTATGGAGCTAACATCCAATGGGATAGCTCCATGTAGGGCTGTTCCACATTAAACCACGTGGGACAGCCCCACATGGAACTATATTATTGGATGTTGGCTCCATAATGGAGCCAACTGTTGACTCCTTAGCATTACTGGTTATTCCTATTCCTATGTGTGTGTATTTTTAGAAATTATGTCAAACCCCATCCATGAGGGAATAATGTAGCATGATTCCCCCATTTATGTTCAAGTTAATACATCCTCCAACTCTGAATATTCATTATTTTATTATGTTGCAGAATTATTAATTTACTTCTTATCCTTTTTATTTTCAATTGCCAAAATGAAAATGCTGCAACTTCTAGGATTCGGACCTAGGTGATTCAATTTAAGCAAAATGTTAATTTATTTTTTTATCAGAGTTCAGTCATAGAAGTTCGTAGGAGTAAAAAAAAAAGTTTGGAGGAGAAAAGTGGAGACAGCCCTACATGGAGCTATCCCATTGGATGTTGGCTCCATAACGGAGCCAACTGTTGGCTCCTTAGCATTACTGGTTATTCCTATTCCTATGTGTGTGTATTTTTAGAAATTATGTCAAACCCCATCCATGAGGTAATAATGTAGCATGATTCCCTCATTTATGTTCAAGTTAATACATCCTCCAGCTCTGAATATTCATTATTTTATTATGTTGCAGAATTATTAATTTACTTCTTATCCTTTTTATTTTCAATTGCCAAAATGAAAATGCTGCAGCTTCTAGGATTCGGACCTAGGTGATTCAATTTAAGCAAAATGTTAATTTATTTTTTTATCGGAGTTCAGTCATAGAAGTTCGTAGGAGTAAAAGAAAAAGTTTGGAGGAGAAAAGTGGAGAATTGGGTTAGACAGAACCACTCTCGAACCGGCCATAAGTTTTTCTTTTATTTTCCTTTTTTTTTTAAAAAAAAAAAAAATAAAATCAATAGGTATAAAAAGTGTTCGACCATCTTGGATCGGCTTGCTCACGTGCTTCCTCGCCTGTTGAACGTCTTCGACCTGCAAAAACTCTCACACCAAGAGAATTTTCTGTGAAGAGACTCCTATCCTTAAATGAGTATATGTAAAAGATGAATTCTGGAAAATATAAAGTAATATGAACGTAATGAGGTAAATTCACAATCCTCACCCCTATGGCAAAATTGCACCTCACATCACGACCTTTTCGACTTTTGCGTTTCTGTCACCACTTTGCTACTTTGGCAATTCGATACCCAACATTTTGGTATTTTGCAAGACCAAGCATTGACCACATTACCGGCCGACCAATGCAAACCTGTCAGGCGATTTAATCCAACGTGGCTCTGATTATTGACGACGTGGCTCAGGCAACATATACATGTCAGCAAATTCAACTGTTCTTATAAAATAAAATAAAAANACAAACAAAATCAATCCTTAAATACATTTGGAATCCCTAATCGACACCCAAACCCAATTTAACTAAAAAACCCTTCAACTGAAAATCGACAGTTCCAAATTTTCCTCTGCAAATTCGAAATCCTTTTCCGAACCCTATTTTCTCTGTAAATGCGAAGCTGGTTCTGTATAAATCCAAGAGCCATCGATTGTTTTTGTTGAAACTACTTTATGAAGAACCCTAGAAATTGTTGCAACTGATGGACAGGTATGAAACATCATCTCTTCTCTTCTTCTTTGTTTTTTGTTTCCATATAAGTGCATTATGCATTATTTATTTACAATTGATAGATTAGGGTTCATTTAGGTGTAGTATGTTGATGAAGGTTCTCTGATTTCCAAGAGAAATTGTATACTCTATGTTTTTTCAGAGAAAAATTATCAATCTTTGTCAATCACGGTGGGAAGTTTGTTATGCTGGATAATGCGGTGGAGTATTTTGGAGGAGATATTCACATCAGCCATGGTATTGATATTGACAGGTTTGGTTATTTGGATTTAGTAGATGTAGTTGAGAAACTTGGTTATGTTGAGGTTGGCAAAATTTATCATAAGATACGTGGAGAAAATGGATCGGTTAGTTACATACATATCCACAATGATGCTACTTTGATGGAGATGATTAGGAGTTTGCAGCCCAACAAATTCTATGTTTATCTATTGGTTGATAATGAAAAAGATGGGCAGAAAAAGGCTTCAAAAGAATCTGTGATCAATAATGCTGGTGAAAAGGGGGCAGGAGGAACCACTGATCATGTTCAATCTACTTGTGTTGATGATGTTGATGATGATAATGATAATGATGAGAGTGATGATGATGATTATAACCCATCAGATTGGAGTTCTAGTGAAGATGGACTTTCTGAGGCTGACTTGGGAACTGATGATGAGGAGTACCTTCTAGCAAGGAAAACAAGGTTCTTTGGTGACAAGAAAATGAACAGTACACAAGATGACTCTCAGAGTGGACCCACCAATGGTGATCCAAGTGAACTATTCAGAGAGGATGATGCATCAGAGTATGGAGACTCAGATGAAATTGATTCAAACACACCAGATGATGATAGTGAGGATATTGAAGACAGCAAGAGAAGGAAAAAGATGAAAATGGTGTTGTATGACCCAAATTGTGATCACAAGGCACTGGCATTTCAGCTTGGAATGCGTTTTGAGAACATTGCTCAGTGTAAAGAGGCCATTCAAAGTTATGTTGTGTATAATGGGTGTAATATCCAATTTTGGAGAGTGAATCAACATCAGGTAGAGGCCAAGTGCATTGATGGTTGTCCTTGGAAGATATATGCTAGTGAAATCAAGGCTGAAGGAAGAGTTGCAATCAAGAATTTTGTTTCAAAGCACAGTTGTACCAGGGACATTAGAACAAGACAGGCTAATGCTAGGTGGATTGCTAAAGAATGCATTAACAAATTCAGAAAGAAGCCAAGAATGAAGATTGCTGAGTTAGAGGAGTACCTACTTGAAAAGTATGCTATTTAACCTTCAAAATGGAAGTTGTATAGAGCAAAGAAGAAGGCTTTGGACATGATTAGAGGATCTGAAGAAGAGCATTATAAGTGCTTAAGAAACTACATTGCTGAGTTGATGAGAGTTGATAGGGCTGGGAGGTTTGAGGTTCTTTTGGAAGAGGGCAGCTTTTTCAAATGCCATGTATGTTGGGTTTAGTACATTGAGGTGTGGGTTTTTACAAGGATGCAGACCATGATTGGATTAGATGGCTGCTTCTTGAAGACATCTTTAGGAGGTATCTTGTTGTGTGCAGTGGGCAAAGATGAAAATAATCAGATTTACCCAATTGCATGGGGAGTTGTTTGCATGGAGAATGAATTTACTTGGTCATGGTTCTCGGAAAAACTATTTTCAGAGCTCAAAATAAGGGATGGTTTGGGCTAGACTATCATAAGTGATCAACAAAAGGTTAGAATAATACTTTACATATGTACAATATTCATCTATTACAGAGTTGATATTTTGTTTATTCATATTATGCAGGGACCTATGAATGCTGTCAGGACTTATGCCCCACATGCTGAGCACAGGAATTGTGCTAGGCATGTGTACATGAACTGGAAAAAAACTCACAAATGGCAGACTTCGAAGAATTGCTTTTGGAAGCTTGTGCATAGCACATATGAGGCTGAATACAAGGAAGCACTTGAGGATTTGAAAGCAGTAGATGATAAAGCCTTCAAGGACTTCTTTACAAAAGAGACTTTTAGGTTCTGTAAGTGTTTTATTTCAGAATCTCCTAAGTGTGATATGATTTTGAATAATGTTTGTGAAACATTTAATAGCACCATTGTGAAGGCTAGAAAGGAACCCATTGTGCAGATGCTAGAAAGCATTAGAAGTTATGTGATGGAGAGGCAACATGATAAGCTTAAGTTGATTCGTGGCATTACTGATAAGATTTGTCCTAAGATTAGAGTTCAGGTTGAGGAAAATAGGTATAAGAGTAGGCTTTGTTGTACCAAGCCAGCCTTAGGAGAAAAATTCCAAGTTCAGTTGTTAGAAGATCAGTTTGTCGTATCCTTGAGAGAGATGACATGTACATGCAGATCTTGGGATGTTAGTGGGATCCCTTGTGTTCATGCATGTGCAACAATAAACTGGCTGAAGCATGATGTGAGTGACTATGTGCATCCTTATTACTATGTTGAGAGGTATATTACAGCTTATTCAAAAGGACTTGAGCCTCCCGATGGTAAAAAAATCTGGCCTGAAGCTGTTGGTTATCCAATCAAACCAGATACTCTTAGAAGGATGCCTGGGAGACCTAAAAAAAAAATCAAGAAAAAAAGCACCTGAGGAGGAGGCAAGGAGTAGCACAAAGCTAAAAAGGTTTGGATTGCAAATGACTTGCCAAAATTACTTTCAAACTGGCCATAATAGGAAGAGTTGCTCTAATGCCTCAGTTCAGAACCCAAAAAAGGTAAAGTGATTCGATCTCAAATTGTATTCAAAATTAGAATTTAGTGAATTGGAAAATATAAGCTCTAATGCTTATGTTTTATGCAGAGTCAAATGAAGAAGAAAGAACCAAGAAGAAAAACTCCACCAGCTCAGAACTTAGTGCCATAATCCTCTGCATCTGAGAATACTCCACCAGCATATACACAAACTGAGACAGCTCCTCCAGTTGCTCCTCAATCTGCTATGAAACAACCAATTAGGAAATCTCCCAGGTTGACTCAGACTGAACCGGCTTTAAATGATCATAGGAATCAAATACACAAAGAACGCAATTTGGTAACTTTTATATTTTTTTAATTTTGCTCCTTTAATCTTCATTGGTTTTAATCTTCATTGGTGAACATTAAAAGACATTTATATTTTTATGACAGGAAAAAAAAGGTTATGGAGTCTTGGTGTCTGAGCAGACTGGCAATATTTACATGAGGTTATGTAGTCATGTTTATGTTTCTGTTTCAACAGATGTCCACTGCAAGAAGAGTTCATCTTGTACATGAAGGCCCATCAGGTAGAGGTAGGAGTAGTGGCAGTGCTAATGCCAGTGGAAGTAGCTCACATAGAGGAACTGGTAGAGGTGGCAGAGGAAGGACTAGAAGTGGCAGAGGTCACACCATTGGCACTCAAGAAAGTGCAGCCAGTTAGTTCAATGGATGTTTGGTTTGGTTTTTGGTGAACACATTTGTTGGATGTTAGTTGTTGGGATGATTGGTCACAAACTATTTTCTTAGTTGTTTCATGTATTGATACTTGGTTTTGCTTGGATGTTTGGACTAAGATTATGTTTTTGGTTGGATGTGTGGACAAAGATGATGGTTAACTATTTTCAGAGTTGTTGACAGAAATGATGGTTTTTGTTGGTTTTAATCCAAAAGCACCTGGATAGTTTGGTGCTCTTCATTACTTATTGTTTGGTGTTTTTTGTTTAGTGTTGTTTGGTGCTCTTCATTACTTATAGGTATGTCAATACTATGTGAATGAATTAACACAAAACATAAACACAATACACATTATCATGTCCCCTAAACAACAGAAAGAAAACCTCATCTCCACCATTGTAATGTAAAACACACATATGAATAATAAGGTCTTCAGTTAACTAATAATAACAACTAAAATACATAAGTTCAATGAAATATCACATCTTCTTTCAATCATAAAACCAAGAACACAATATTCATCAGCACACCTTGCACACCTTCAATCAAAAGTCATCAACCTTCTCAACACACCCAAAGTACACCTTCAATCAAAAGTCATTAACCTTCTAAACACACCCAAAGTCACATTAACCTGCATCTACTTCAGCACTAACAGAAGAACAACACAAGCCAACATGAACATTACAAATGAAGTTGGAAACTTCTCCTTCTTAACAAGTGTGTCTATAAACTCCTCCAATTTAGCATGTTTCACCTGCAGCTCCAATATCTCTCTTTCTATGATGTCCAATCTTGAGGTTATCACTTTGACCTCCTCTTCTTTGCATTTCAATTCATCACCCACACCTTTCCTTTCATTCTTGAACTTCAAAAAAGCAACCTTTTGAGATGGTGTAATCTCAGGATCACACCATAAGAAGAACTTACAGTCCTTAAACTACAACAAAATCATTAGATTACAAACATCAAAATTATTTTATGACGAATTAAAAGAAAATTAGGGCAAAATTTGTCCATCATGTTTCGAATTATTTCTACAAAATTAGAGTAAAATCTGTCCATAAAACTTACCTTTCGACGTGGACAACGGAAGTATCTTCGACCCGGATTTGCATCAGTTTGCAAGATCAGCAAATCGGCCTCATCTGGATAGTAACAACGGACTTGTGTGTGGGTTGCACTTCCATTCGAAGCTCCACTGTTGGTCGAGCTTGTTGCCATGTGTGGAGGGAGGGTCGAAGATAAAGACTGCAGTGATTCTTTGCAGCTGAAGGAACAATTTCTTGTCGAAGATAGGGTCGCACGTCGAAGATTAGGGATGAATTTAGGGATTTGTGATTTGAGTTTGGGGATGTTTCGGTTTTATAACAGTTGGATCAAAGAAACGACGTCGTTTTGCTGCATAATATGTTGCCTGAGCCACGTCGTCAACATCAGAGCCATGTTGGATTAAATGGCCGGACAGGTTGGCATTGGTCGGCCGATAATGTGGTCAATGTTTGGTCTTGCAAAATACCAAAAGGTTGGGTATCGAATTGCCAAAGTCGCAAAGTGGTGACAGAAACGCAAAAGTCGAAAAGGTCGTGATGTGAGGTGCAATTTTGCCCACCCCTATTTATAGAGGTGAGGTACCTGCTTCTAGAAGACTGACTGGATATGGTGAGCTGGCTGCCCGAGCTGCCCAGTAGAACACTCTCTCGATCAGAATGTGTTAGAGACGGTTATGAGGCGTTGACGAATGAGATGGTGCCACGTGAGGCTTAATTTCCTTGAATAGACCACTTGATAATTCGACCAACTTTATGTCGATTGAGGTGAAGCGCTGTCTGAGTGGTGGTCGACCAGACGACCCTTTGCAACTACAGGCCGAGTTTCGACCAAGCCCTCCACAAGCCCTAGCTCGACCCATCCTCCCTGTGCTGGAGCCTTTAGGCTATTTTCCAGATCGAAGGCTCTTGATCCTAGGGCGCTCGACCAAGTCGCCTCTCTGTCCTGAGTCCGCTCGACCAGGTGGTTTGCTCTGCTTGCTCGACCGGTTTATTCCCTTAGCTATCTCATATCAACATGTATATTAAACATACAAAAGAAATAATTACTTTTATTTATCTTTATAATTAAAATTAAATTGCCTATCAACATTACTTCGAAAAAATAAAATTATTTAAACTAACTTCACTACAAAGTAGTTATCTAATATGAATTAAAAAAATTATAATATGAGATGGTAAATTGTGGAAGCGACGGTGTCATTTTAAATATAAATAATAATATATTTTTTCAAAAATTATTTAAAAACTATAAAATAACTTATGTTATTGTTATTTAATTTTAAATATAATTTTCTTAACTAGTACTCGTGTAGTACACGAGTATTGTACTAGTATGTATTATTGATAATAATTTCCTTTAAAAATGGTTAAATTAAAAGAGATATGGAATAACCATAAACCAATCTCTTAAAATTTCTAAAAATAGGAGTGTCCCTGAGTTGAACTACACCAAAGCCAAACAAATTAAACTCATAAATCCCGGGGAAAAGTGACATAATAAACGTCAAGTGACAATACCCCCGCTCATTCATTCATTTTACCTAATCACACTGAAATTCATTTGCCTGTATTTCAACGGTCGGATCATCTAATATCCACAATTAAGGAAAAATAAAAATAAAAAGAAAGGAAAATACGCACATCCACAATTTTCATATGCTTTAAAGAAAAAAGAAAACACGATGGTTGATAATCTTGATGTAATGCTTATATGATTTCCAGCAAAATCTTAGATTGAGGTCAATTTTGTATTCCACATTATATTATAATTCATGAAGTGCTACATTTAGATTAAGGACTGAATAAGTGATGACCAAATTACAATAACACTATAAATTTTTTCACAAAATTCATTCAGTTTTTCATAAAACATAAGCCGTTAATTAGTTAATCCAAAGTTATTGAAGGTGGATGGACACAATTTAGTGTTGCCATAATATTCCAGAAAAGGCAGTTGGTTGTATTATTACCAGTATAAAGCAATCTCACTAGCTCATTTCCATAGGAATTGAAACTTTCACTCCACATCAAGTCCCTTCAAAAGAAACATAAGATTTTCACATTTTGTTTTACCTTAAAAAATTGAAAATTAATATATGTATATATATGTCGAAAAAATATTGATATGTTGATTGTTTGATTGGATAATGTGCAGAAGAGGCATCCTGGAGGCAAATATCCTTAAAATGTACGAGCCCTTTTAGATTAGGGAGAGAAAGAAAGGGATTGATATAACAAATAATCAAATTTTTGGAAGAGAGACAAAATAACTAAGAGAGAAAAAGACAAAAATGGCGGACAACAGGAGCATTAGCTTGGAGGATATCAAGAAAGAAAACGTTGATCTTGTAAGAATTCATGTTTTTTTTTTCCATAACTTGATCTTTTTTTTTTAATTATTTTCAATTTATATTTTCTCATTTTTATTAGAATTTGGTGTGGTGTTGAGTATGGTTCATGTATTATTATTATTATTATATTAGTATGTGCGTTATTCTTGAATTGTCAGTTAACATTTAGATAGATTAGATTTGATACAGACTTCTATGACGGAATGAGTGTTAATTGGAAATTCTGTATCTTTTCATTTTCCTTTCTTTTATGGTTGTATGTTTTGGAACTTGGAATACTGGACCATTCAGAAAAATAATTTGTTATCTAGATTGATTTAAAGGATTAATTTGTCACTTTATTATAGAAGATTGGTGCTGGTTGAAACGTGTGAATTCTGTAACACCATTCGTTCATATCTGATTAGATATAAATTTCTGGATATTTACATAATTAATTTTTATTTTTTATTTATTTGTTTTTATAATTTATAAGTCTTCCATGGTGATTATGAATTTGTAGCTTGATCATGAATGCAAGTTATCTTTTAAATTAACTTTGAAATCAACTCGTTACAACTAAGTGATTTGTGGATATTACGGTTCCATTAATTCATATACATTCTAATCTTTTTATATATTAGTGACATGAAACCAAAATAATGTTTTACATCTCTCTTTTTTCTTCTTCTTTGTTCTATTAGTATGTAGTTTATATTCTTATTTCGATATAGATGAACTTTGAAGTTTATGGAGATGCAAGTTGCATAATCCACCATAAAATCTATACAAGATATATTATATTCCAGAAATTATTTAAGCACATGATTGCTAATTCTGTGCTCAAATATCCAAATGGTATAAAAATCTCATATTTAACAATTTAATAAAAGACAGTTATAAATTAAATTATTTTTTATTTTTAATTTCTCTGTGTAAATAGAAGCAAGAACTAATTTGAATAGACAGGATTACTGTAATCTGAATTCGTTTCTTTATACACGGTTCGAAATTTTTAGTTATTTCCATACCCATTTGGTATTCTTTATTTTAATTTCTTACAGTATTGTTTATTTATTGCTTGTTGAAAATACATATATATATAAAAAAATGTTTTGGAAAATACAGGAGAACATACCAGTGGAAGAAGTATTCATGACCCTACAATGTTCAAAGGAGGGACTAACCACATCTGAAGCTGAAAGGAGGCTGCAAGTTTTTGGCCAAAACAAGCTTGAAGAGAAAAAGGCAGGCACATCTAATTCAATTAATTAAAACCTCTTTACATATGTATATTTCAATTTAATTATACTCAAAATACATATTTTAACTTTTGTGAAGAACAAACTGACAGGAAAGCAAGCTCCTCAAGTTTTTGGGTTTCATGTGGAACCCACTGTCATGGGTCATGGAAATAGCTGCAATCATGGCCATTGTTTTGGCCAATGGACAGGTGATGATAATGATGATGATGCTGATGATACTCTATTTTTGTTTTTTTTTTTTCAAACGACAATTATATTAATAACTGAAAACTCAAAACGACAATTATATTAATAACTGAAAACTCAAAAGAGTACATCCGAAGTGTCAAATGACACACTGGAACCAGAAGACTGGACCAACCCCCTTGGCATCACACGCAAGGGGTACAAACTCCATCAAGGAGGCCAACAACCACAACATAAAACTCCATATAGGAGAGAAAAGCAGACAGAGCTGCACTAAAAGCAGACAAAGTTGCACTTAACGAACAAAAACACAAAAAAACAACTCACACCTAATATAAAAATAAACTAGAACCTCTCCTACACCTAATAGACCTAACTCCAGGCCACCCGAGACCGCACACGAGCCACTTCCACTAGCATAGAGATCCAACAAAGCCGCAAACCGGAACTTCAAGCCCGAAAACTGCGGCCACTCGTGCCGCCTAGTCGGATCTGATGAAGAGTCTGCTCTCAATTCAGATCTGAACTCTGAAAAACCAACCATGCCGGGGGAGAAGGGGAGCCGCCACTAAGCCATCGAAAATCACGCCGGAGAACTCGAAAATGGTTCAATCGCGCAGTCAAGCCGCACCCTTGAACACTACACAAAGAGAACCCAAACCTCGACGCACCGACAACTCGATAGACTCCAGGGGCTGAGGAGTGACGCAGACGACCGACGGCCCTTCCGTGGCTAGGGAGATGGCGGATCTGCAGGCACCAATCCGAGCCATACACCCTAAGAGGCCACGGAAACAGCGGGAAGAAGATCCCCCAGCCCCAACTCGGTGGAAATCGGCCCCGACGACGCAGTTGAAGGTTGCCGGTGAAGGAGGGGTAGCAAAAATAATGGATCTGGTACTTTGTGTTTTGCAGAGGGTTTTTTGGGTTTGGGGGAAAAGGAGCGGCGGAACTTTTTTCATACTCTACTAAAGAGTTTCATACATGATTTTAGGATAATTACTAACTTTGCCCTTTGAAATCGGCATAATTATTTTACTTATAAAAAAGAAAGTTGAGTCATATGTGTGTGTGTGTGTGTTTATGTTGTGAAAATAAAAAGAAGAAGACTTTAGGAGTAATTCTGTAAGTAATTAGGTGGAGAGAGAGATTTGGGATGTATGCATTTCAATGTTGCTTGGTTGTGTTAGCATGGATCTCTAAAACTACACAATCACATGTATTCATCCTCCATGTTTTTCCATAATAATTCTGTAGTGGAAAATAGAGTAACTGTAACAAAACAAGTACCTAAGATACCTACTTTAAAACACTTGATTTTGATGTTGGTCAGCGCTAATTCCCCTCATCAATTAATATTTTCGGTTTTTTTTCCTAGAAAGTAATGAATTAATTCAACTACTAGAGTTGATATAAGTAAATAAATGGGTTTGTGTGTGTTTGATCAGGGCAAGCCTCCAGATTGGCAAGACTTTGTGGGCATAATGGCGTTGCTCATCATCAACTCCACAATCAGCTTCATTGAAGAGAACAACGCCGGCAATGCCGCTGCCGCCCTTATGGCCGGTCTTGCCCCCAAGACTAAGGTAACTGATGTTTTGTGAGAAAATTGCAATTTCAGTCCATTAATTTAGGTTGTTTCCTATTTTAATCCAGTAACTTGGACCAATTACTTCCAAAATGTAATTAAATTAGTCGAATTCCGGTCCCCCTCGCCGAAATCCGAATTGCCAACTCAGCACATTTCAATCGGATTTCGGCGACAGAGACCGAAATTGGATTAATAATTTAACTACATTTTGGAAGTTTTGGATCAATTTTGGATCTGCTCAAGTTACTAGACTAAAGTGGAAAAAAACCTAAGTTATTGGACTCAAATTGTAATTTTCTCGATGTTTTGTGATTGAAAATGAATCTAAAATAATATTAATTAATTAATTAAATAACGTTGGGTGGAAATTAAAGGTGTTGCGAGATGGGAGGTGGAGCGAGCAGGAAGCAGCGATCCTAGTGCCCGGGGACGTGGTGAGCATAAAATTAGGCGACATAATCCCAGCAGACGCTCGGCTCTTAGATGGAGACCCCCTGAAGATTGACCAGTCAGCCCTAACAGGAGAGTCCCTCCCCGTGACCAAGCACCCGGGGAGCGGCGTCTACTCAGGCTCAACTTGCAAGCAGGGAGAGATCGAGGCCGTGGTTATTGCAACCGGGATCAACACCTTCTTCGGCAAGGCGGCACACTTGGTGGACAGCACCCAGAACGTGGGCCACTTTCAGATTGTGCTCACGGCCATCGGCAACTTCTGCATCTGCTCCATTGCGCTCGGGATTGTGATAGAGTTGGTGGTGATGTTCCCGATACAGAAGAGAAGATACAGGGACGGGATAGATAATCTTCTGGTGCTGTTGATTGGTGGGATCCCTATTGCTATGCCCACTGTGCTGTCGGTCACCATGGCAATTGGGTCCCACAGGCTGTCGCAGCAAGGGGCAATAACTAAGAGGATGACGGCTATTGAGGAGATGGCTGGGATGGACGTGCTCTGCAGTGACAAGACTGGCACACTTACCCTTAACAAGCTCACTGTTGATAAATCCTTGATCGAGGTCTTTGTAAGAGATTTGGACAAGGAGCAGGTCATATTGGCCGGGGCTAGAGCTTCTAGGGTGGAAAATCAGGACGCTATTGACGCTTGCATTGTTAATATGCTACCTGATCCCCGTGAGGTATTTCTATAATTAGTATTTTTTTTTTCAGGAAAAAATAAAAATAAAAAATAATCATTTTTTTTTCTTTTGTTTTCTTTTCAACAGACAAGAGCAGGGATTACTGAAGTGCATTTCCTTCCATTTAATCCTGTCGAAAAGCGCACCGCCATTACTTACGTGGACGCCAATGGTAACTGGCACCGAGCTAGCAAAGGTGCACCCGAACAGGTAAATCAAGCATATATACATTCTCTATCAGTATAAGGGAAAGTCCTATTTTTTTTTCTCTTTTTCATGCTAATAAAAAAAAAAAGAGTAATCATCAGCTTTAATAATCTATCACGGTTAGATCATCGAGCTGTGTGGGCTCAGAGAAGATGTGAAGAGAAAAGTCCACTCCATCATTGACAAGTTCGCTGAGCGCGGCCTTCGATCTCTTGCTGTCGCTCAACAGGTAAATCTTTGTAACCATATTTTTATTTTTAGTAACACCATAATTAAACTCACACCATTGGTGAAACAAAATATCTACACAGGATGTACCAGAGAAGACCAAGGAGAGCCCTGGTAGTCCATGGGTCTTTGTGGGCCTGCTTCCGCTCTTTGATCCACCGAGGCATGACAGTGGGGAGACAATCAAACGAGCCTTGAACCTTGGTGTAAACGTGAAGATGATCACGGGCGACCAGCTGGCAATTGCCAAGGAAACTGGCCGTAGGCTTGGGATGGGCACAAATATGTACCCGTCATCGTCCCTTCTTGGACAGCACAAAGACGCAAGCATCGCCCACCTCCCTGTCGAGGAGCTCATCGAGAAAGCTGATGGCTTTGCCGGCGTTTTCCCTGGTGAGCTCATAAAAAAGCATAATATATTAATAGGCAAAATTGCATATTAATACACCACCTTTCGTGTTTTTGCAATTTAATCACCACCTTTGATTTTTTGCAAATTGATACATCACCTTTTACCATTTTTGTAAATCGATACATGAATGACGGTTTTGTTAACAAAAATCTAACGAAAATCTGACATGGCATTAAGCCAAGTCATATCCATGTTTAACAGAACCGTCATCCGTGTATCGATTTGCAAAAAAGGTAAAATTAGTGTATTAATTTGCAAAATAACAAAGATGATGATTCAATTGCAAAAACATGAAACGTGGTGTATTAATATGCAATTTTGCCTATATATATTAATATGGTCGTTTAGATGTTGATTTGTGATTGTGTGATTGTTGGGTAGAGCACAAGTACGAGATCGTGAAGAAGTTACAAGAGAGGAATCACATATGCGGGATGACGGGAGATGGGGTAAATGACGCCCCTGCCCTTAAAAAGGCAGACATCGGAATCGCGGTGGCAGATGCAACCGACGCAGCGCGTAGCGCATCTGACATTGTTCTCACCGAGCCCGGCCTCAGTGTGATCGTGAGCGCGGTTCTCACTTCTCGGGCAATCTTCCAGCGCATGAAGAACTACACCATCTATGCTGTGTCCATCACAATCCGCATCGTGCTGGGTTTCATGCTTCTCGCCCTCATCTGGAAATTCGACTTCTCCCCATTCATGGTCCTCATCATCGCCATACTCAACGACGGCACAATCATGACCATATCAAAGGACAAGGTTCGTCCGTCCCCAATGCCCGACTCATGGAAGCTCAAGGAGATATTTGCCACTGGGGTCGTCTTTGGGGCCTACCTTGCCATCATGACAGTCGTCTTTTTCTGGGCCGCCCACCAGTCAAATTTTTTTACTGTCAGTCACTCACTTATTTTATTCTTCATTTCATCCCAAATCATTTATTACTTTCATAATATATATGTACTTATTGTTTCAGGACAAATTTGGGGTGCACTCGATCAGGGACAACTACAGAGAGCTTAACTCGGCTGTCTATCTCCAAGTCAGCATAGTCAGCCAGGCTCTCATCTTCGTCACCCGCTCCAGGAGTTGGTCTTACGTTGAGCGCCCTGGACTTCTTCTTGTCTTCGCGTTCTTCGTGGCACAGTTGGTGGGTTCAACTTTAACAATTAATCCAAAAACTTGTTTTACTAATCTAACC